TGAAAGCAACTTCAAATTCATCAAAAGTTAACTCAGTATTATTTAGAGTTGAGCTTAAAAGAGTTTCATATTCATCAATAGCTTTTTGTTTAATGTATGGAATATTATTGCATAATTTTGTTCCGATTGTTGTAAAAAACTTGTTTAATTCGAATCCAATTTTGTTTGGATCATTAAATAACTTGTTTTCAATTTTTATTATATCTGGCAGTGAATTTGTACTTGTTTTATGTTTTTCAGTCACCTCTTTCATGACTTGCCAGACCCTTTTTGAGTTATGTTTGTATTTATTTAGCAAGTTTGAGTAGTAATTTTTTTTGAATTTTTACGAAGCTTTTCAAATAAGTTTTTATAATTTAAGTAATTTTGTTTGTGTTTTTCTGATTTTGATTTTAGGTATTTAACATATAACTTCTGTATAATTTTTGAGGATTTTATGATACCCTATGTAATCCAAGGAGATGATATCTCTTTGGCTTTTAAGACTATTTCACGTAGAGGAAAATTTGAATCATAAACTGCATAAAAAGTTTTGAAAAATTGATCATAGATTATATATAGAATTTTATATATAGAATTGATCATAGATTATATATAGAATATTATATATAGAATGGAAAACATGGTGTTAAATTTTCGAACATATTCTTTAAAAACTATTGTAGTTTGTATTTACCAAGATAAAGAACCAAAACAAAAAATTTTGAAACTAAGTGTTTAATAACATTGTTATTTAACACTGAGTTTCAAAAAAAAATCCCACATAAAATAGTTTCTGTTTTAAAAAACTTATGTATAGATGTATTTGTAAAAAAATCTATTTAGTATTTTTTGATTGGAAATTAAATTTCAAGTTTAATTCATGTTATTTGTGTTTTTTCTGTTTAAAAAAGCTCACCTCCAATTTATGATGTCATCAGCACGGTGAATAGGTCTGTTATAAAGTACGCCGTGGATCGGGTGGTTTAAAACGGTCGCTAAAACATTTATAAATTCGATTTGAAATATTGTTTTTTGCAAAAATTAACGCCGCAATTTTCCTTGGACTGGCCTCCCAATAAAACAAATATTTTTTATTTTCTGTGTACTCTCGAGTCCATACTGAAAAGGGGGAGGAAGGGGGCTAGGTTTATTAGTTTTTGGACAATTTTCTCACCCACCCTAATTTATTAAGATCCATCACCCCCCCCCCCGCCTTCAATAATTTTTACTTGCTATCAACAAAATCTTTATCTCAAAACTAAAAAGAAAAATTCAGTGAAAATCGGCCTTTTAAATTAGAATATAATTATTTTAGTCGCCGATGAAAAAAAAAAAAAAAAAAATTTGAAGACTTTAAATAGGGAGGGGGGGGGGGTCCATAATCATTTTTTTTAGATTTTTTATAGTTTAACCAATTTTTCTTAATTAGTTTTTAATGCTGATTCTGAAAATCATAGTCATTTTTTTTTCATTTTATTTATTTAGCCTTCTACTTCGATTTTAATAAAAGTAAATATATTGACAAAAAAAGGCATTGTTAAAAATAGATGAAATAATAATTATTATTATTATTTTTTTTTTATGTTGAAATAGGTGCCCCAAGAAGTCCTTACGGTCTTATCACAGAGCACCACGGAAGAGCATTTAATGGGAAGTTCACGCCTTCTTCCTAACCGATGTCGCAAAACTTGCCCAGAGGTGGGTTTGAACCGGGGATCTTACGTTCCTGAGGCAAGCGCGCTACCACTGCGCCACGGCTGCTTAATTATTATCATTAAATATAAGAAAAGTAGAAAACTAGAAATCTTTTTCTGTTTAATTTATCAATAATATATTTTATCATTTATAAGTAACAAAAAAAATTAAGCATTATATATGAAAATAATTCATACAGTTTGTTATTTACTATTGAAAATAGAAAATAACTATAAAAGTCATCATATGTGATAGAGATTGCTGCGTGAACTTTCCTTATAGAACATCTAGGTTATGAACGTGTTTTTTGGTAGACGTAAGATAGAGGTTTGTATTTTTATATCAACAATCATGTATTTAAACAGAATAGACCTCCGCGATAATGACCTACATTGTATCCCTAAAATAAAGAACCTCATTTTTCGAACTTGTTCGCGGAGATTTTGCGGAAACAAGACGTGTTTTTTATTAGCGATAAAATTTACATAAAAATGGATATTACAATGAAAAGCATCGAAAAAATTATCACAAAACAACTCGAGGAACACAAAAAAAGTATTCTTAAAGAAACTGAACGACTACTTAAAGAGCAAGAAAAATCATTTACTTTAATAATGAGTGCAAACCTCAAAATTATAACTGATAGACTAGACACAATAGAGAAAGACAACAACAACAACAAATCGAAAATAAAGAATATCGAAAAAGACCTGAACGAAATAAAGGACAGCCTCAGTTTTCAAGAGAATAAAACTTTAGAAAACATTTCACACTTAAAAAAATATTATGACAATCAAATAAATACATTATATAAAAAGTCAATAGACTTGGAAAATCGTTCCAGAAGAAATAATCTAAGAATAGATGGACTAAAAGAGTCTCCAGGAGAAAGCTGGGATGATTGTGAAAAAGAGGTAAAAAAATTCTTTAATAATCAATTAAAAATATCAAAGGAAATCGTTATAGAAAGAGCACATCGCATCGGTCAAAAAAAAGATAATAAACCAAGAACAATAGTTTTAAAACTCCTGAACTTTCACGACAAAAACAAAATACTCAACTCATTAACTCATCTTAAAGGAACTGGCATTTACATAAACGAAGATTTTGCCCAAGAAACTATCGAACATCGAAGGAAGCTTTGGGAAGAAGTGAAAAAATTACGCAGCGAAGGTAAATACGCCATTTTAAAGTATGATAAAATTTAACTTTTTTTTCATTTTAACATATCTTTATCTACTTCAATAATGTCTAGTTCACAGCTAAATGGGCTGCCTTATAACTTTAATCAAGCTAAAACAGAACTCATCTTGCACACCTGATGTAAAGTTTGCTGCTCTTCCATTGTTATTCATTTGTTTTTGTAGCTGGTTTCAACTATATTCCATAGTTTCAACTTTTTGGACAAATAACTAAACAATAATTTTCCAAAATATTTTTAAACTGCGCGAACCTTCATTTTTTATATGGTTTAAATAATTAAGTATACATCTGTTGAAATTAAATGGGTTTTTTTCAAAGCTTTCCATTTGCAACAACTTAATTAGAAAGTTAATACTAATCATATTCCATCATCAACAAAACACATAATACTTTTCTCTTTTTTGAAGTCCTGAGGCTAACTTTTGCCAAAATACTCTAGCAAGAATGATACAATCATTCAACCTCTTTGAGGTATACTTATTAACTGCTTCTAGAATTTTTTTTAACTAGCTATTCACTACGTTTTAGGGTAAAGCAGAAAATTTCAAAATTTGATCACCCAGTTTGTTTTTTATAAAGCCTTTTAGGTAGCGGTGTTCCTTTAGCCTGTTTATCTTTAGAATTGTTAAAACTTTAGAATTTAATAGAACTTTTACTGACTGGCACTTTAAATGAAGATTTATTCTTGACTTCATTAAAGCAAAGTGAAAAAAAATGAAATCTTGAATAGCCTTCTTCGTCAGGGTTAGGGTTAGCCTTCTTGATAGCTTGAATAACGATTAAAAATAAATAAAATAAAGGAAATTAAGATATTTTGAAGGAATCTGTCTTTTTGATTACTTAAAACGTTTTGTTTAGAAAGAGTCTTCAGATATAACTTTTTTTGAAGCAATCTGTCGTTTTACTTATTTAAAACGTTTTTTTAGAAAAAGACTTAAACTTTTTTTTCCTAAAACTCAACGATTAAATATCAAATTTATCCAATCAAAATTTTTTATATCTTTAAATTTTTTAAAATAGAAATAGAAGGTCAACCATAGAAAATTAGCAAAAATTGAACTTTTCTCAAAAAATTAATTAAGAATAACTGGTTAAACAAGAAATATAGAATTTTAGACCCCCCTACTTTAAAAATCGTAAATCTTGATTTGTAGAAAACGAGCTTTTGGTTTATTTCTCAGCAAATTATAAAACTTAAACCAGCATATTAAATCCTATTAAAATTATGATAAAACAACTGATAGAAAATGCACATATATCCGCACAGCAAAAATAAGTAGTTTTATGCGTTATAAATATAAAAAATAAGTAAAAATAAGTAGTATGTTATGCGTTTATGTAAAAAAAATATTAGTTAGGATTTATAAACTGAATTTTTTTTATAAAAAATACTTATATTGTATCATGAAAAATTCTCCCCTACCCTCTCGTTTAATAGATTTGGACCCCTTCCTTGTACAACTCTACAAAATCTTATAAATCAATTTTTTGCGTTTTACACCCTTTTGACAATAGTTTATACTTCAGAAAATGCTGCAACCTTGAAATAACTTAAGTTAGACCACGTTTTAAATAGCAAATCAATATATTGGACTTAAAAAAATTATAGGTGTACCAATTAAACAATTTTAATAATAATTTTTGGTATTACGTAGTAGAACACTCGTGTAACCAATATTTTAAAAATAGTGACCAAGTATCACGATAATCGGTAACGTTTTTTGGTTTAAGTCGCGAAAAACCAACAAAACTTAAACTAAAGCTGCCAAAAATCCATAACCAGTAAACTAATTAGATTGAAGATGGCGTTTTGTTTTATACTTAATCTAAATTATTTTAGCGCAAGAATATTTAGGAAGACATAAAGAGCCCTTAACCAGACGATTCACTTTTTAAACTAAGTAAAAAAAGACATTTTGAGTTTACAAGGTTTAAAATAATAAATTAACATAGTACGGTTAAGAAAAGAATCTAAATCAAAAATTAAAAAAATATATGATCATAAAAGGGAAAAAGTAGCTTAATAGCAATAATATTTAACAATCATTATCTGCAGTCTGCAAATAACCAATCAATTTTAGTAAATAACTCAAGATGTTTAAATTGAAAAATACAGATCATGCATAAGTTGCTTATGATAGATCTAGCGAAATTGTGCAACTGTTTACATCAATTTAAATAAGTTATTTTTTATCTTTGTGTTCATTATATATTTGATAACCCAGTCCTATACATATCGCTCCAACTACCATACTTTGTGAAATTACACGAAGTCGCATTAAGTAACGGCTTGTTGTCATATAAGGATCACGATTTCTATAACCATATGCACCAATAGCAAGTGCAGCAATAAATCCAGCAATTCCTTGAATATAAATAATACATGAGTATAAATACTACAGCATATCACTATAAACATATAAATAGTGTAAGGTATTAAAACTTATATCAACTTACATTAGCAAAACAAACTCTGCATAAAAACACATTGACAAATTAAATGTAGATTTTTAATACATTAAAAATTTTAGTTTTAAAAATAACAAAAAACTACTTAAAAAATACACTGAAACAAATCCTAAAAGAGCCACATCCCATTATTTTTAAGAAACCAAATGTTTTTTATTACAGTTTTTCGGATTAAACAACTTTTAAGCTTGAATGTAAAAACATAGTTTATAGCAATAAGCTTGCAAAGTTTATCTGATCTCAAATATGACAGCGTTTATAATGCTGTCATATTTGGAGTGATTCTTTTTATTTTCATATTTTGGGTAATTCTTTTTATTGATGCCCTTTCTAGACAAGGTTCAAAAATGCGTTCTAAATGTGCTCTAGCTGCCAAGCTCAAACCTCTGCTCAGTTGTCTTGGTTTGCATCTTTTTCTTTTCTACAAATACTATCATACAGACTGCTCAAACAAGCTGCCACCGCTTCCATCAACCAAAACTCAATCTTGCATGATTTGTCATTCAGCAAAGTTACATCCTTTTACTGTAACTGACCTTTCATGCTCAAAAAAATCTCTTGCTCTTAATAATATTCTTTGTTTTCCGTCCATAAATTACGTCACACAGTTTTTGACATTTTTAACCCCTTCTCCTCTCGTAACACTTATTGACCCCCCCCCCCTCTCGCAAAAAAAAACAACATTTAAAAAAAATTTTTATGAAGGGAGGGGAAGGAAGCAGGGGAGAGGGGGATAGGAAGAAAACAAAATTTAAAAAAGTACAAAATGATTTTAAGTATAATAATGTCTATAATTTTCTGAGCTTCTTTGAGTTAATTAATTAGCATTTTTCAGTCTGTTAAATCTTTTTTTTATCCCAATAGTTCCGCCAAAAGTTGTATGAATTAACATCACTATCCTAAACATGATACAAAATTTGAAAATCTATTTTTCTGATATATAATACATGCAAAATATTATATATAATATAACATAATAATATATTATACATGCAAAAATATTATTTTATAAATATAATTTTTTTTCAACTTGCAACATGACCATGGCCAAGTGGATTCTGCTTCGTGCTAGTGAACAAAGGGTTCCAGGTTTACCTTTCTGTATCGAAATTATTATTATTTTTTTAGTTAGTGCACAAAGGATGTTTTTTTGTTGCTGCAAACTTTTGTGCACTAAATAAAGTTCTGCACTTGGACCATATAAAGTCAAAGTGCCGTATGTGCACTGCACATAGATTGTTACAGCGGTAATAGTCCGTTATCAGGCTGTAACTACTCCGTTAACGGAATGTACACATTGAGTAAGATTTAGGTGTAGTTAATTTTACAATCAACATGTAGATACATCATTTAAGGGTTTTGGTTTGGTCAGTCTTATCTAGATTTAAAACTAAAAAAAAAAAGAAAATGTTGCATCGCAAAATCGAGACCCCTTCCCCTCGTAATAAATCGTCACAAAATCCTCTACCCCTAAAGCGTGACAAATATTATGGATGACCCCTAACTCATAAATGGTGGCTGCATGCAGCATTGACAGGAAAAAAACTCTTAGAAAAAAACTTTTTTTTCTTAGCTGACAAAAAAGTAACAAATAATGCTAAATTTTGAGAAGCTAAAAACCCTAAAACCTTATTAGATTCACTTAGAATCATTAAAAGAAATAATAGTAAAAAATATCTATTACATGGGTCCTATGGTGAAGATTGTGTTATGACAATTTAAAGTGACACATTAAAATTGTCAAAATGTTTGACAATTTTAATGTGTCACTTTAAATTGTTTTAACAATTGTGATTATGACAATTGACACAGATTGTGTTATGACAATTTAAAGTGACACATTAAAATTGTCAAAATGTTGTCAAATTGTTAGATGTGTATAAAAATAACTTTTTATAATTACTACAATTATTAATATCTATATTGTATTTATTGTTGTTATTATCACTATTATATTTATTATATTATAAAAAGCTAATTAAAAATAAAAAAAGCTAATAAAAAAAAGCTAATAAACAATAAAAAAGCTAGTAATAAATAGTAATGAGTACTAATATTAAGTAAACACTTGTCATATTCAATATTATTGAATATGACAAGTGTTTAATTAATATTAAATACTAATAATTAATATTGGTACACATTACTATTCATTACTAGCTTTTTTTGTCTATATCGGTGTCAATTTTGGTCGAAACTTATTTTTAATACAACATTATGAAATGAAAACAATTTCTTGAACTTATGTTTCGAACTTTGTTAATATTGCACACCTTAAATTGCTCACTTGATTAAAAACAAAAAGAATGAATATTGCGTTATAACAATTTAAAGTGACATTAAAATCGTTAAAATGTTGTCAAATCGTTATATGTGTTTGCTATACAATAAAAACATAAAATAATGATGATCTACATTAGTTCTACTAATGTAGAACTTTTTTAAACTTCAAATTTAAAAGTACATTCTGATTAAACTGATATTGTACTGGAGCAAACAATTTTTAAGGATAGCTAAATGAAGTGTACATACATCAGCACATCCCATTTTGACTCTAATAAAAGATACAGAGTGTCTCAAAATGTTTATAACATTTTGTTAGTAAAATTTTGTATCATTATACTTTAGAAGAATATTTATACTCATGCCATTCTTTTAAAGTTTAAATTTTTTACACTTTTTGATTTTTTAAGAGCACGATTATCACCAATATAAATTTACAAACCATTAACTATATATATCATCATTAAAAAGAATAGAGATTTTTTAAAAATTACTGATTGCACACAATTTTAAAATTATATTTGTTAACAGGTGGTATTTTAGAAATACAAAATTCATTAAGAAATTTTAAAAATGTGGTTAACGAACACCATAGCAATAAGGCCCAATTCACGGCAATTCAAAATTTGTTAGATTCTCAGCCAAAAATTTTGATCTCAGACAGTTCATCCACTTTTTTATACCATGGCTTCAAACACTAAACGAGACTTGTGCAAGGTTTGCTAAGTTTCATGATGCAAACAATGAGGCAGTAATTTTGAAATAGTAATTCTTTATAAAATATTTGAAACCAAATGGAAGTGAAAAAGATTTGTGTTTGCAGAATGACTAAAAACAACCTCTTAGATCAACAATAAGCCACTAAAATATTAACTTATCTGCCATGATCTTAAATAACCTCTAAGATCAACAATAAATCACCAACAGTGTTTTTTGATATAAGAACACAGAGATACTGTTGATAAAAAAATAAACTAGATACTTAAATACTTCTAACATGAAAAAACTAGAAAAGATATTGTATAATATATGCCACTTAAACACTCTAAAAATTGATTGTCAAAAAAGCTATGGGATTGGCTAACATAGTTCAACTGTATGTGTAAAAAAACCTTCAATTAGTTAATATTTATAATTAAACTGCAGTTCACAATGATCAGAAAAAAGATTTATACTTGATCCAGATACCTTTTTTTACTTTATCTTGGATTTATAACTCGGATTTAAACTTTATGTATAAATCGTAAGATTGTATTAGATGTGGAGCTTATGCAAGATCTAGATGCATTTACAATAAAAAACTTTAAAAAATTCGAAACTTGAAATTTGAAAAAACTTGCTCAAGTAAGAGCTAAAAGAAAGTTACATATGAATTATTATTCTTATATAAGTAATAATATGAATTATTAATCTTGTATAAGTAATAACTAAAAATTTATATTTTTACAGATTTTTTTAATATCTATTGACTTATTTAATACAGAATGACTGAAAATATGTTGGGCCTACAGCATCACTGTAGACTTTCTAAAGCCATAAATTAACAAAAGCATAGAACCCTCTAAACAAAATAAAAAAGAACGCATATTGAGACTTTTTAACTTTATCTTTGCTCTACTTTATATTTTTTTCGTATGAATATTTACCTGATCTTTATACTTTCTTCATGTAACTGATTCAAATAGTTATAGGGTTATTTCTCATACAATTCCATCTAATCTTAATCTATATCTAAAATTTTAGAAGTGCTTTTATTGTTTATGAAGATATATATTAATATATATGTTAATAAATATATATATATATATATATATATATATATATATATATATATATATATATATATATATATATATATATATATATATATATATATATATATATATATATATATATATATATATATATATATATATATATATATATATATATATATATATATATATATATATATATATATATATATATATATATATATATGTATATATATATATATATATATATATATATATATATATTTACACACAAAAACACACGTTGTATACATTACTATGCATACGAGCAACATAAGCTGTATATATAAGTATAAATAAATACTGTAAAAATGAAAATAAAAACTACCGATCGGGATAAACGGAGCTTTTTTGGCTTTTTCTAAAAGTTTTTCAGAATTTGATACTTCGTCGTTATCTGGTCGCCAGTATCTCGAGTCACTTGGTCCTTTCGACATATTTTAACCAAGTTATTTTCACAACTGCCTCAGCTAGAGGCTCTGAATAAGTAAAATTACGCAACTGAAGTACAACTATTTTGCCTATTAACTTTTTAGGGGGTTTTTAGAGCAATTCAAAATTCAAACATTAAACAGAACGTATGGTTATTTGCATACTCCTATACAACTATCAGAAGAAAGAAAAATTAAATATTTCTAGTAAATAAATGAATTCTTTTTATTTAATTTTGTTAAAGTAACAAAGTTTTCATTTTTTTGTATACTTCCTTACATAATTTAAAACAAAAACTTTGTTTTTTTGCATACTTAAAAAAAAAAATTATTATTTTCGATGACTAATGTTTTTAGAATTATGGTACGCGAAAGAGAAATGCAATTAAGCACGCAATTTTTTAAAATTGTTTCAATTGGAAAAAAATGGGTGCCACAAGTATACAAGGGGCGGAATAAATAATGGGCGTCACAAGTATACAAGGGACGGAGTCAGTGGACGGATCAAAAGAGGAAGAAGGGGGGCGGGATGACAAATGTCGTCATCATTTTATAAATGTATTTAGTTTTTTCTTTTTTGTTATACAAATTACGAAAAGGTACAGGAGAAAAATTGTTTTTACATTTAAACATAAAGCATATAACGTTAAATTAAGCTCATATATATTTAAAACTTTCATTTTAATTAATAGAGGCTCGGCATGAGTAAATCGATCCCTAAAATTTATAAGACGTGGAACATGTTTCTGTTGACGATAAAGAGATTTCAGTTTACTTTTATTAGTACTACCCCAGGCAATGTTCGCATAGTTCATGTGACAATGAATGAACGAATAATATAGTTTAAGTAATGTATGTTTATTTAAAAAACGTCTTGCTTAGTATAAAATTCCTACACTTTTTGACATTTTATTACTCAAATTTTTTATGTGACTTTCCCATGACAAATTTTCATCAATATAAATACAAAGAAAATTGGTATTTAACAAAATATTGTTTGAAAATGTAAGTAAATAAGAGAGGCTTTTTAAAAGTGTTAAAAAAACCCGGACTGTTGGGAAAACCAAATGACATAATTTCATAGTTGCATAGATTAAAACAATATAAGACTAAACTTAAAAAAATTTATTATTTAAACCTGATCCTCTCCCCCCCTCCTTCCTCTACATAATTAGAGTATGGATCCATCAAATTAAAAAATTGCCCCGCTCCTTTATTCCTGAATGGTCTGGATCCACCGAATCAAATAAACATAAAAACTACCCCCTTACTATTTAGACCATCTAGTAACCTCCCCTTACTAGATGGTCTAAATCCGCCCCTGATACAGTTTTTTTATCGAAAATATTTTTTCTTACTTATTCCTCTTTTCTTCAAAAACTCTTTGTGTTTTTGTGAAATTTCTAGCAGAAAAATTAAAAAAAAATTATTTTAACGTATAAAATACATACAGTTTTTTGATTTTATAAGCAACAGTATTTGATCTTTATAAGATTATCATAACATCATCTTTTTATTCATACATTTTAGAATTTACCTAACTCATCTTCACTAAAAGAATTACTAGTATAATTTTTATTAATAATTTTTGTATTTAGGATTTATAATTTTTTTACTTCAGATTGCATTTTATGTTTCTTGTACTTTTGAATTCATTGTTGTTTTACAAAGGCTATTGATACTTATCACTTCTTTTTTGTGAAGTATTGTAATTACGTTAGTTTATGGTAAATTGTTGTATATGTAACTTTTCTTATTTTGTAGAAAATTCTAGATATAGAGAACTTTTTTCAGAAATTTAAGATTGTGACCATCCACTTCCAAACCTGTGTCGTCAACCATGAACAGCAAGTGGTATATACACTTGCATTATTACTTATGCAGACGATATAATTCTAAAGTTCTAATCTTTTTGAGCTACAAAGATTAATTAATAAAACTCAAACACAATTCAAAAACTTCTAAATCAAACTAAACAAACAAACAAAATAAATTGAAAAAAAGTAAGAAAAGTAACTTTCTTATCTCTGTTAAAAGCTCAGTTACAAAAATCACAAGTCAAATGATCGACTCTTTCGTAAATCACAATAATAAACTGAAACACTTTGGATTCTTATGAAAAAATCAAGGTCATACACAAAATATATCTGCACTCCAAACAGCAAATGCAAACGAACGCATTATTTAATTTCAATTAATCTCTGAAGCTCTTACAAAATCTGGAATTCCTTTTTGTTAACAGTTAACTTTAGTGCATTTATATGATAGGTAGCGCACTTGCCTTAGAAACAAACGATCCGTATTCAAACCTTACCTATGGGCAAGTATTGCGACATCAGTTAAGAAGGAGGCGTGAACTTCCAATGAAATGCTTAACCGCGGTACTCTGTTATAAGACCGTAAGACTTCTTGGGGCACCTAAATATATATATATATATATATATATATATATATATATATATATATATATATATATATATATATATATATATATATATATATATATATATATATATATATATATATATATATATATATATATATATATATATATATATATATATATATATATATATAGTGTTGTGCAAAATAACAGGTAATTGTTAAATAATTTGACTTTTTGTGCGAAATAAGTTCTTTACAGTAGTCTAGTTTATTTAAACTGTATTATATAATTAATTCAACTATTAACTAATATTTTTAATGAAATGCAACATTAAACAAAACAAAATTTATTTACTAATCTATATAACTAGATTATATAGATTAGTAAATAATAACCCCGGCAATTGGACTGGCCACTTTAAAATCCGAATTTATTTGTTCGAAAACCAATTTTTTACTACCTTTGCAGTATGCTTTGGGTAATTATCTTGTTGATAGACCTATATCAAAGGTAGATTTTCTTTTGTGAATTATAGCATAACATTTAAATATATTTTTTTATTCATATTTTCTTTGATCCGAAAAAAAGGAATTTACTCCATAATATGAAAAGCAACCGCATATTTTCATATTTCCACCATCATGTTTAAGCGTTTTTATGGTGTATCTAGGATCATATTCTTTTCCTTTTGGTCTTCTGACATCTTTTTTCAGTGCATCTGACGCAAAAAAGTTAAATTTTGTCACATTTGACCAATGAATATTTGGCTAATTTAAAGATGGCCAGCCCACATGCTCCCTAGCAAAACCTTTTCTTTTTTTAATATTATTTGGTGATAAAAATGGACATTTTTAAAATATTATTTGGTAATAAAGATGGACATCACCATTTTCATTTGGACAAATGGACACTTCTTTGGTACCTTGGCTTTAACATATTGTCAAGTAAGCCTTTTTCTAACTGTCGAAGCATCAATTTGCATGTCAAGAGTAGTTTTTATTTCTTTTGACGTTGAAAAAGGATTTCTTTTGGAATAAAGAACAATATTTTTGTTATCTCATCTATATGTTTTCCTCTTTCGACCACGTGTTTCGGGTGTATTTTCTTTTATAATATCATATTAATTGAATAGCCCATTATATTTGAAATTTCCTTCAAAATCTTACCCTGATTTCGTAAACTTTTAATTAAATTTCTTTTATTTTTCAAACAATGAACGTTACGCCCTATTTTTCTTTTAATTTTATTCTATTTTTTTTTTATTTTTCCTAAAAAAAAATTTTTTCTTTTTTATCTAATTGTCTGAAATGATAAGATTTGAAAGGTAGAATATAATATACTTTTCCGGACGATCAAGTTTTCTGTAACTTTTTATAAGCATAACTGTTCATGTAACACATAAATAACACTTTTTTTGTTGTCAGCTTAAAGCATAGTTTAACGACCCTGATTTCCGATTAAGTTTTACTAATTTGCTCTAATAGTGCAAATTAGTAAAACTTAAATCGGAAGTTTTAGCAAAATCCTAAATTTTGACAATCTATAACTTAGTATGAGATAAAGTACATGAAAAGGTATTTTTTAATACAACTACTTCTGCTTGTGTTGAAAGAAAAAAAGTATATATACCATTTTTGTATCATTTTTAGTTAAACCGAATTTTCGATTTTTATTAAGTCAATATTTGAAATTCTTTAGGATTTTGCTCTGTCGCTTCAAATTGTTAAAAGATTATAAATAAAATTTAAAAGTTCATAAATTTAAACATGATTAAAGATTAAAAGTGTAAAAACTGTTATAAAGTGTCTAATCCTAATTATTTCTTAAAACATTTTTTTTTCTTTAATAATCATAATGTTCTCTACATATTAAGTTAAAGTGCTAAAAAAAAGATAAATTGGTAGTTGTTGCTCTTTTCTTTCTATTTCCTTCAAGGAATACAATTTTAAATTTATCTATGATAAATGTTTAAATGCAATCGTTAAAATAATTCTAGTAGTAAGCAAAGTCCTACCTTTAAAATAGAATTCAACAATTCGAGATTACACAAATCTGAAAATTGTAGCTAAAATTAAGATTCTAAAATATACAGGAATTAGTGCCGTGGCTAAAGAGTCATTGCCCCCCTTTCTTTAAGAAAAATCTGTCATTAGTGGACTGTCTTTATTTGAGTATTAATGTATAGTTTGATTTGCAATTTTTGCCACTCAAACAAATTTGATCAAACAAAACTTGTTTTGGAAATCTAAATTTCATTTTTTCTAAAAAAAGACGATCTTTATTTTTGCTTTTTTTTTTTAATGTTAATCTCTTAACTCGGGTCACAATCATCATGTCAAAACCTGGAGCACAAAAGTGCAAAGAAAAATTACAGACTGAGGGAAAGACAGAGTTTCTGCAAAAAAGTGCAAATTGAGTAGAATTCGCAGTACATCAGCATTAGCAATAATATAAACTTAAGGTGAGATATTGATGATTTCTGAAAACAGTTTACACAGCATTATCAAATTTTTACCAAATGCCGACGTTGATAAAATAAGGCCCGAGCTGTTCTCATTTGTCACTAATTTTGAAATTATCCTTGCCCTTAACGACAACATTGAGAGAGAATGCCAATCAAAAGGATGACCGAGAAGAACCACGCTGTTATTAGCATACTAATGGAGCATGTGGATCGT